CCGGTATAGAAACGCTGTTTGTTGTGTTCTGGAAACCCGCAGGGGGTTTCCCGGCGCTGCTCTGTGCATGCCTTTTTGCAGCATTTTGGAGCTATTTCGAGCATCACTACAGCATTAAAAAAATCTGTTCAAATTACGCATGAGGCCTCTAAATTGCTTGTTTTCTAGGGGCTGTTTCCCCAGAGCTGTATTTGGGTAAGAGAAAAGCGCAACCCAGAACTTTAATATCATTATTATATATGTGTTGTGCATATTATATATTATTAATTTTTATTATATATTATTGTTTTTATTATATATTATTATTTTAATTATATATTATTATTTTATTATATATTATTATATTTTTATATATTATTATATATTGTATATAATAATATATATTATATATTACAATATTATTTATATTATATTTTTATTATATTATTTTTATCTATTTTATATATAATATATATAAAACAATTTATTATATATTATTGTATATTATATATTATATATTATATATGGTTTTATATTATTTATTATAATATATGATATATTTTACTATATCATATATTATTTATTATATTGTCCTTTATTATTTAATTCTCTATTATTACAATATATATTAATATATAGTATATAATAATATATAATTATATATGAAAATATTTAATATATATAATAATATTGTCTCTATTATAATATACAGCTTTCATTATAATTTTTATCACTTCTACCTTTTTCCCATTGTTTTGCAATTGTTATTTTAACAGTATTTTATGATTTTATAATTTCTAGTATTTTATAGTTATTTTACCGGTTTTTTAATTGTTTCATAATTTTTATAATTTATAACGTGTTTTGAAAGGCGCCTAACTTCTTGTTCTCCAGGCTTTAATTTGTGGATGCTCTGGAGAATTCATTGTCATTTAGGAATCATAAGGGAAATTTGGAAAGCATCCTAAGGATGTTTTAATTAGATAATAATTTTTAATTATTTATAAATAAACAATACCTTTCTAATTTTAATTAGATATAGATGAATGTATGAAGCATGTTAGTAGCATTAAAATCCCCCAGCCAATGTGCTTGCTACATTTCCTCACCTCTAATTACCCTTGCTAATCAGCATAGCTGAAACTGGGCTCTTATCCTGGTAATGCACTTTATAAACACGCCGAGAAACTTCTGGAGTTAAACGTGTTAATTCTGAGCAGAGCATGGAAAAAGAAGGTTGTGGTGGTGGTGTGAGGGGGTTAGAAGGGGTGTTTGTCTGGGTGAGGGGCTCAGAATTCCACATAACTGCTGCACAACCATGAAGGATCCCAAGTTAACCTGCTCCTGGCAGTGACTGAAGGGTTAGTGGGATATTGGGAAGAAGTTCTTCCCTTTGACGTTCTGGCACAGGTTGCCCAGAGAAGCTGTGGCTGCCCCATCCCTGGAAGTGTCCAAGGCCAGATTGGATGGGACTTTGGAGCAACCTGGAAGGTGTCCCTTCTCATGGCAGGGGGTGGCACTGAATCACCTCTGATTTCCAACCCAAACCCTTCGGTGATCCTATGAAATTCCTCTCTCTGGGGAATCCAGCCCCCTCACTCCAGCATCCGAGTTGGTCCCAAAATAAGGGCAGCCTAAACATCTTCATCTTTGTTCCACCCAAAGTGCTTCCAAGCAGCTTTGTCTTAATAATAACATCACTGAAACGGAACAAACTTCACTGAATGTGATGATTTTTCAAGGACTGAATTTACTCTTTGCTAATTACTTGTTAATTGATGATATTTTGATATTGGAGATATTTGTATCAATTCTAATGATTTCCTCACCAGAACAGTCATTTGGGATTTTTACTGGTGTGGCAGCAGCACAGGGAAGCCAGGAGGAGGCGGGAGACCTGAATTAAAGCTGCTAGGGAATGATTTCTAGTGCTGCTCTAAGTATTTAAGAATACAATAAGAAATAGGATGATTATGCTTTCCTTGAGACCTCAAATTTTTAAATATTAAGACATCTCCCTGAATTTTTTATCCACCAGGAATACAAGGAGAAAGCAACTCAGCTAGGGGTTGTATGTCTTTGCAGCACTTGATGTGAAAGGTATTTATCCTAAATTCTGGACCATGTTCAATGTGTGAGAGCATATTTTCTTTGTTTTTAGCGCTGGGGTTAGCAGAGCACATTTTTGGCCTCCTAGTACAGGTTTTAGGGGTGTGTTAACAGTATCTGAGAGAAATTTGTAATTAAACATTAAGCTGGGTTTAAAGGTTTGCTGGTGCTTGAAAGCTTTGTGGATTAGACTCTGTTTTGAACTACTCTGAGCCCTGCAGAGTCCAGGTTTGGATCTGTGCCCTCTGGAATATGTTGGGGTTGGAGCCCTGCTGTGCTTGGAGGCACTGTTAGTCCCGTGTCTTTGTTCTTCTGTGCTTGCAGAGTTTGATTGGAGCATGGAGCCTGTCTCCCCGCTGGAAGCAGGGATTCCTGCAGGAAAAAACTCACCCGTGCCACAGAAGAAATTCCGTGTCTTGGTGGGGGTGACTGGAAGTGTGGCTGCTCTGAAGCTGCCCCTGCTTGTCGTGGAATTGCTGAAAATCCCTGGGGTAAGTAAAAGCTGTTGGTGGAGCTTTGTAAAGTTGGAGTTACCCTGTTTTTGAGGAGAGATCACATGGCCCCTGCTGAAGTGAAAAGTTCCTCCTTGGAGCCCTTCAGTTTAACAATTTTTTGAAGGAGAATTCTTCCAGCTCTTAAGAACTGATTTTTTTTTTTCCCCCTATCAATTAACACTTGAATAGGTCTTGGCTTTGGATGGGTTTTTTCCTGGACTTTGCCCTTGTCAGTCAAATTGCCAGATGTGGCTGCAGACAGAGGTGATGCATCTAGAACTTGAAATCTCCAGGATATTGCAGTTTTCCATCTGTGGGATATGGATTTTTGAAATATAAACGCTGCTGTCTGACCAAGAGAGGGGGAACCAGACCTTGTGAAACCAGAAATAGAAAATACACACTGCTATATATGAGTCTATGCACTTTTTTTTTTTTTTTTACTCTTAATTATCTGGAGTAACAGAAGTGCCCAGCAGAGGCCACTGGTAACTGATCAGGGAGGGAAACACGCTTTTTTCTGCTGTAGAATTAAAGTTAGAGGAAACTTTTAAGAAAGGGAGCAGATATTTTGGAGCAGCAAAATGAAAAAGTGGCAGAAGCAAGAGGGAGCACTTAAATTGGAGATATACTGGTTAGATTGCTTCACGAATATCCTTTAGAATGTTTGGGGAGGCTTTGTCTTGTGAATGCATTGAGTAGAGGCACGAGAGGTGCTGATTTATCTGGTTTATGTTGGTATCCAAGCTGGAAAGAGTACTGGAGGGGAGGCATGGGTTGCAGAGAGAAGTCTGTTAATTTATTGCTTGATCCGAAGTGATTAGTGAAGTCAAAGGTCTGCACCCGAAGTAAGAAGGACAAAGAAAAGCCATACCAAGAAAGGGAGTGATCAGCACAGAGCCAGAGATATGGATCTTCTAATCCTCTCTCTCTTGGATTACCTTGGCTGTTGTCTCTTTTCCTTTTTTCCTGGTGCTTGGAACATCCTTTTGTGAGGGTAACAGGCAAAATGCATATGATCCACCGTAGGAATGTGAGTCAAACCCCTCCTTCTCTCTGATTGTTTGATTCATAATTAAAAGCTGCAGGCAGCTGGACCCAAACTCTGTGTGCAGACCCAGAGGACCGTGACATCTGGTGCAGACTTTGTGGCCACTGGTTTTAGGTTTTAGTTGCATAAATAGCAAAAGTGAAACGTCCAGGAGTTTCTAACACTAAATTTATTAATAAAAATTATTTAGTTACTAATTTCTGCTGTGATTTCAAGGCCTGCTGAGTCAGTGTAACTTTTCCATTGAGTTTGTTGGGTCCTACACAAGGCTGTTGCATCAGTTTCTTGTTGAGGTAGGGCAGGAGCCAAAGGAAGAAGGCCTTTGTACCAAAGGAGGTGTGGTCAAAGGCTTGAAACTGGAGTAGTTAGTTTAAATTGATGTTTTGGCTGGAACAGTCTGTGGTGAATGACTTGGCAGGGTGATCTTGCTGCTCATTAAACTTTAACATCTTCTGGAGGGTGACTACAGTGCACTGCCTTTTTGTTTAACCTCTTTGGAGGATCTGGGAAATTTCAGTGGGGTGCAGATTATTGTCCTTGCACCTGGTGTGGTGGAGAGACAGCACAGGGTCTCATCATCTCACACATCTCATTCATAGAGTTTTTCAGTGGCAGGCACACCATGACAGAAATCATATTGGCAGGATATTGGTTAGTAATAGGCTTTTGGGAGACCCTGGAGCCCCTTCCAGTCCCTAAAGGAGCTCCAAGAGAGGTGGAGAGGAACTTTGGACAAGGGCCTGGAGGGACAGAACAAGGAGGAGTGGCTTTAAGCTGAAAGAGTTTATACTAACAAGTTTAGATTAGATATTAGGAGCAAATTCTTCCCTGTGAGGGAGGTGAGGCCTTGGCACAGGTTATCCAGAGAAGCTGTGGATGCCCCATCCCTGGAAGTGTTCAAGGCCAAGTTGGACAGGGCTTGGAGCAACCTGGGGGATGGAACTGGATCACCTTCAAGGTCACTTCCAAACCAAACCATTCTGTGATCCTGTGATAAAGAAAGGCAAGGACAAACCTTTCTGTGGGTGAGATGTTTTGTCCTTGAAGCTACAGGATGTCAGCTGCACTTTTGGCTTAAATCACACCATGTCACTTCATTGTGCACGTGCCAGGCAGCCTCTACATTGGCTTGTAAGTGCCATTTAACAGGGGAGCTGCTCGTTCGCTTGTGGTCAGGCTGTGTGTGAAGATTTTGCTGTCAAAACTGAGAAAGTTATTAAAAAATAATCACACACACCCTTAACCTCAGCAGAAAGGGCTGTGCCAGGAGAATCCTCTAACAGAGACCAGCAGTGTTGCTTTGAACACAGGAGAGCAATTTTGCAGTGAAGTTTTATTTTGGAGATTGGGCTTAAGTGGTCTAAGCCAAAGACCTCTAACTAATCTAAACTGTCTCCACTGAGGGAATTTGAGTGTGGCTAGACTGCCTTTATTAAGATATCCATGGGCAAACAGAGGGTGTGCCAGGTAAATAGGAAAAAAAAAAAAAACTAAACTATGTAGGCTAAAGTGATCTTGAGAACACTGATCTCTTTGCAGCATAGCTGGAGAGACTTGAAGGACTTGCTCAGAACAAGGGAACCAGGAACCCACCCCAGCAGAAAACCTTCATTAGGGAGAATATTTAACTCATAGAGCGGTTTTCTTGGTGGAGTGGCAGAGTCACCAGCGCTCAGAGTCCTTGAACATCCCTCTGGTATGCTCTGGCTTGCAGTGGGTTGGCTGCAGTGCTCAAAAGCCAGAGCTATTCTCTAATCCTGGGCTTATGCTTGGAAGAGATAATTATTTTTTTTTTTAATGGTACCATTTCAGAGACGAGAGATACCCCTTCAAACTGCACGGTGCTCTTTAAAAATCCCCAAGTAAATATTCTCTTGCAGCCTGAGGTTAGCACCTCACCCAGGCCCGTGGTGCTGCAGAGAGCGGCGTTAGCACCTTTGTGGGTGCTGCTGCTTGGCTCGGGGCAGCTTCCTGTGGGGTGAGGTTAGCCTGGAAATAATACAGTTAGTTCATGGCTGTGGATATGATCTTCACGCTCAAAAACAGTACAGACAGCTGTGATTCCAAATCAGGGTCACTCGGAAGAGAACAGACATTTAGAAGAGGCAAAGAAGCAAATACCAAAAAGTGGTGTCACGTGCAGCTATATTTTCCCTTGACTTTCCCTTCAGGAAATGGGGGAAATTACCCAGGACCACAATATGCTAAGGCTGGGATTTTGCTCTGCTCCCAGCTGTTATTCTGCTCATATAGCCTGCAGGGAATCAACACTGCCCCATTCCCAGTAGAATAAATGATGTTGGGAGCTGGGTTAATGTGGTTTGTCACGTCAGCCACTCCTGTTGCAGAGAACTTGGAGGTTTCCAGCAGTTGGTTTCAGCAAGGGTGCACACACCGAGTGCTTAATCAGTTTTCTACCTCAAGCCACAATTTTCCAAGAGGCAGAAGCTGCTGGTGAGTTTGGTTTCTCCCCATCTCACACCACACACTGGGTTCTGTGAGCTGCTGGAAGGAGCAGGCAGTAGCTGGAAGTGGATAATATCATGGAAAAGGGATATTTTTCACTGTAATCAGTGGCCTGAGGTGCATCTTCCACATGACCAGTTTTCAGAGTATTCTTTCCTTGTGGTGGCCTGCCTGTTGACTGGTTTAAGGAATATCCTTGGAAGGAATTGCAGATGGAAATCCAATTGCATGGGGGATCAGGGCATGCAGAGCCACTCAGACACTGCCTCTGATTTGGGGCTGGTCCTGGTGTGTGCAGGGCACCTACGGTTCACAGCTTGTGGCAGGAGCTGTTGGCAGCATTTATCAGTGCTACAGGTCACAGGACAGGTAGAAAACGGGAAAAAAACCTTTTTCCACTTGTTTTCTGCAATAAATGAGAGGTTCACCTTAGCACCTCATAAGCATGTGTTTCAGATCTGAGGGATAGGATAGAGTTCTCCCAGTATATAACAATAACTGAAGGTTCCCCTGGCTTTGCAGGTTTATCTGAGATTTCAGAGAGAACCTTCATATCCTTTCACCCAGTCTCTCTTTGTGGAAGGCACTGGTTCACTGCACAAAAATGCTGTGCTATGAACATACCTTCACAGAGGCTTTCCTCTTCCCACCACCTTGCTTTGGTAGGAAGGATAGCTGGAAGACACAACTCCCACTTGCTTCTGGTAAGATCAGCAAGTCTGATTAACACTTTTAAAATGTAGCATCCCACAGTCTTTAGCTTCTTCCCCACTTTTGGGGTCAGGAGGTCATAGAGCGAGAGAGGTGGGGCAGAAGGAGGCAGAGAGAGGTGCAGGACATGATCCATTCAACCAGGAAACCATACTCTGTGTTCCAAAGCTGCTCTTTTCTGGGAAGCCTTGTGCAGCAGAGGTGGGTGCTGAGCCCCAGCATACCTCCGTGTCTCTCAGCACCTATGTTGATTACTCAGCTTTCTCTTGGCACAGAGCTTCCTCTTGGCTCCCAGTGTGGGAAGAGCAGTCCTGGCAGTGCCACCTTGTCAGTTGTGGTTCAGGGAATCCACTGAGGCGAGATGCTCCCTTCCTCCCTTTGGCAGGCATGTCTGGGGATTAAAGGGCATCTTTCAGTTTCACAGGGCTTTGGTTTGCTGCTTCTTCCCTTTGAAGTTCTGTGCAGAACTGCACCTCGTTGTCACCTGCACTGCCCTCTCTGCTGTCCTTGCTGTGAACGTGTTTGGCAGGTGGGAACCTGTCCATTTTAGGTTGGCATGAAACGAGTCTCTGGCTCCTGTGGATGTCTGCAGTGGCTTGGCCTTTCAGCTTTGAATAGGCAAGGTCCTCTGAGAATCCACAGAGCTTTCAAAATTGTCCTCAAATCTAACCATTGGTCTTGTTCTTTCTGCTTAGCTCGAGGTGAAGGTGGTCACTACCGAGAGAGCAAAGCACTTCTACAATGCTCAGGAGATTCCTGTCACCCTCTATGGCGATGAAGATGAATGGCAGGTGAGTTGTTCTTGCAAATAGAAGCACTCATCTAAGTTTCTTTGCAAGAAACCACACTTAGTTCTTGTTTAATCCTGGGCTAGGACCCACTCCTTGGTCTAGTAATGTATGTTTGGAATATGGCTTTCGAAGACCGTGATGTAAATGAGGAAGAAGAAAGAGGCTGCCCTGATGTACTGGAGGATTTTGTCCCACAGCAGGCTGTGCTCTCTCACCACTCTGGAATCAGCTGCTCTGAGAGGAGTGTCAGGAAATGTCAAGAAAGCCACTGCAGAGCTGTGGTGAGCGTGTTTGGTGCTTGTCGTGAGTCATACTTGTCATGAAGGCAGCAGCAGCTTCTTCCCCTTAGCTCAGCTGTCAGGGCTGTGAACATCTCTGCACCTTGTAAAATGGCTCTTTCTCCTGACTACAGTTTTGCTGACGCACTTGGAGAGTCCTTGAGTATGGAGAGGTTCATTGTATAAGCATGAAGACTTTTTTTTCCCATACATTCTATCCCTACTTTGCAGTAGTGATCCTAGTACAAGGTGCTCTACTCTTTACCACTACTCCTGCCAATGCACTCACACGAGTATCACTTCTAAGAGGAGAGAGACATGCCAATGGCAGTGGCCAGGAAACTTTCTGGCTGGTCTAGAGATTTGTAGAGATCTGCTGGATCCCAGGGTGCTACAGCTCCAGGCAGTTATTTCTGAGGAATCCTCAGTAGGGTAATAGAAGGGGTGCAGGTCAGGCTTTGAGGTCTACTGGCACACTGGAAAGCAGGCACAGAATGCTTACAATGGGAAACAATCACAGAATGGTTTGGGTTGGAAAGGACCTCAAAACTCATCCAGTACAAGCTTCCTGCCATGGGCCAGGACACCCTCCGTTAGTCCAAGTTGCTCCAACCCCATCCAACATGCCCTTGGACACTTCCAGAGATGGGGAAGCCACAGCTTCTCTGGGCAACCTGTGCCAGGACCTAATTAAAAGTGACTTGTACAATTAGGGGTCTGTACCTCATTAAAAGCCAGTGGAAAGCTTCACTTCAGTGTGAAGCTTATAAATCACATGGATTTCCTAGGAAATGTGCCCCTGGTTTGGTCCTACCTGGCTTCAGCTGGCTGGTAGGATGGAGCTCTTTTACCTGCACAGGTGTGATATGTGTTAAGGGAACTCTTAGGAACAATTCCAAAGCTGAAGGATGCTGTGGACAGGGAAGGCTCTTTCATGTGAGTTGAAATCTGTGGTTATCAGATGTATGAATTGTCTTTGTGGGGAAAGGACAGCCCTACATCACTGCCATCCCTTAACTGTGCTCCCTGAACACAGGAGTGTGTTTTGTGAGGTGGGATTGGTGAAGTGCCCATTGTTCCCAGCGTTCCCTGTGAGGGTTTGGTGATCTCCATCCTGTCTCCTCCGCAGCTGTGGAAGGATCGGTCGGACCCCGTCCTGCACATCGAGCTCCGGCGCTGGGCTGACCTGATGGTGGTGGCACCTCTGGATGCCAACACGCTGGCAAAGGTTGCCAATGGCATCTGTGACAACCTACTGGTGAGTAACTGGGGCTCTGCCTGCCACTCCTCTCAGCTCTCAGGACTGCCTGACCTTTCCTTCATGGAAAATTGTGCTTCTGCAGCATCATGAACAGCGAGATTTGCATGTTCTGCCTCCATCTGCTTGTCTCTCTCTTCCTCAGGATGATTCCCCTGTTCTTTCTCAAACAGTGGATCTTTCCTTCCCTGACCTACATCCCTTCCCACTCCTCAGTCTCTTCTGTTATTTCCTAGTCCCCACTTTGTGCTTTTCCTGCTTTTTCTGGGGATGGTATTTATTTCTACCTCCACACTCTCTCTCTCATTCATAAACAGAAACACACACACACAGTCACTTCGAGTTCCTCTCTGCATTTTTTTGATGTAATCTGGAAAGACACCTGTGAGATTAGATAAAACTCTTTACTTCCTGCTACCTCATCACCTCCTCACCTAACATAGCACAGACATTCAAACATGCTCACGTTTACTTAACTTCCAGTCTCAGCTACAAAATATTCTGCTTGTTCAGGCTTGGTTTTTTTGGTACTGAAAGTGCTCTTTAGGCTCTTCAGGCAAATCAGAAAGTGTATTAAAAGAGAGTGTGCTTTTCTGTTGGGTGCTGAGAACCTTCAGTGGGGCTGACTGTTTTGTGGCCAGGCATTAACCACACAAAAGATCTCTCAGGAAGCAGCAGATCTGGATGACCAACAGCCTTTTGGGTAAGAAATGCATATAAATGAACAAAATCCACCCGGATTAGATTACTGGGGTTCTGAGAGAAGTCAGAAAGAGCTGTGGGAGGGACAAGCAATGTCTTGTCCTTCTGGATCCCCTCAGTACTATGGATCTGATGGTTTAGCAGAGGGAAGAGCTCAGGAAAGATATCAGGGATTCATGGCTTCACAGACTCCTGCCAGTCTTTTCAGGAAGCCTGATGAAAGGAAGAGGTAGCTCCAGGAAAGGAAAGCAAGTGCTGGAGGTGCTGGTTGGCAGTTTAGAAAAGATTACAGCAGATGTCCTTGTGGTGGGAAGGGTTCAAGTCACAGGATATAAAAAGGATGGGCATGGTTCCTATAAGGATCCTGATCCAAGGAGAGCCCTGCACCAGGGACTGCTGCTCACTGGGAAGCTCATTTGCGTGACTTAAACGCTGCTAGGCCTGGGGAAACTGATGGGCATTGCATTAAGAACAAGCAGCATTTATCTTTTTAAGGAGATGAGGTGATACTGGTTTATCTGGAAGTGCTGCTGCCAGATAGTTTGTAATCTGCCAGCGTCCGCTGCAGCAGCCCAGATGTGTTTGTGTCATCCTCTGCTTGTATCCCAGACACAGCAGTGCTTCCCTATGAGAAGTTATGGAACCAGCTGGTGGATAAGTTCGAAAAGACTCACTTGCCAGCTTTCAGTGTTTATCTTTACAGCTGGCTTACCTGAAGTGTTGCCCAGGGATTTCACTGTAGCTGATAAGAATTGTGGTCACCCTTCAACTTCTTTGTCTCCCACAAAGGCTGGCAGTCTGTGTGCATCCTGTTCCTGCTTGGTTTGCTCCAGGCTGGGCTGCTTGCTTGGCCCTGGGCCATAGCGGGATGGGATCTATCCTCTTTGTAGCCTCCCTCATCCTTCCTGCCTGTCAGACGTGAGCTTTGCTGGAATGTGATACAAATTAGTCTCAGCCTTGTGAGTTAGTCCACCTGCACTGACAGATAGAGGCTTTTGACCTCAAAATGACCTCCAGGCTGGGAAGGCAGTTCTGTGCAGCAAAGGGATGGGAAGGAAGGAGGAAATCCAACCCATTTCTTGGCTTCTCTTGTAGACTTGTGTCATCCGCGCATGGGATCTGAGCAAACCTCTGCTCTTCTGCCCAGCCATGAACACGGCCATGTGGGAGCATCCCATCACAGCTCAGCAGGTGGAGCAGCTGAAAGGCTTTGGCTACACGGAAATCCCCTGTGTGGTAAAGAAACTCGTGTGTGGAGATGAAGGTCAGTCCCTTTCCGTGGCTTCTGACCCTTTCCCTGCCCCAGTGCTGCTCTCATCCCGAAGGGGTGTGTGTGCTTTTGTTGTGTGGCCTCTGGGATGTTGAACTGCCAGGGCTTGTACAAACAAGCTGAAGCTTTCCCCTGTATTATTCCTCTTTATTAATTTTTAAGTAGTCTTAAGGGACCATCCAAGCCAGGCTTTCAGATGAGCCTGATATTGAACAGAAATGCTCGTTCAAGAAGAGAGGGGATCAAAGAGAAGGGAAGCTCTGCCGTGAATGTTATCAGCCTGGGATTTGGGTGTCCTGACTTTGCCCTCTGCTGTGACTGGGGGCTGTTTTCCTCCTGCCTCAGTTCATCAGCTCTGCCATCAGGATAAAATCTTGACCCTGAGAGCAGACAGCGAGAAGAGCCCTTTGAAGATGTGGCTGAGGGTGTAGCTGGACACACATTTAACTTTTGCGTTGTTGTTGTTGTTGCCTGGGTTACTTTTCAGCTTCCCAGTGGAGTTCTGATTTGGGGTTTTGATATCGGATTTATCTATGAAGTGAAAGAGGGGGTGGGGGAAGTTGTCATGGTCAGATTCAATAGATTTAGCTTGCAATGCTAAGAAATAGTACTAAAATGGTCTCATTTGCATGTTAGGAGCTGCTTTAAATGGAGCTATTTTGACTTTTGGGAGTGGTTTTGATACAAACCATTTGGATGAATGGATTTGAGTTTTTATTAAAATTTTATTGGACAAATTGTCTGTAAAATGTCCCCCAATTCCAGCCATAATAGCAAAATAGCAAACATGCTTTTAACTGCACAGTAGAATGCTCCTACTTTTGTGTAAAAACCCCAACTCCAGCAGGATTTTAACCACCCTTTCAGTTCAATAAACAGTCTGTACCTAAGCCAGGATGTTACAGTGTCCTTCAGGGTCAAATTCCAAGGCTGGCTTAATTTTTGAATCCTTAGGTAGCTGCAGTGCCTCTAGAGATTGTATTTTTTGATCTGAAGACTAGGAAATATTTACAATTAAGTAAGTGTAGTCAAGTAACTCAGGCATCAGTTGAAATATCCTGGATGATTATCCTTCCACTGGGATTTTAGACGTGATTACATCAAATTTCTTCATATCCAGCTCAGCTGTCTCTGCTGTGAGAGCAAACTCCTGAAGGAGCTTGGAGGAGAGGGATGGCACAGACAGCTGTGCTAGGAGCAGCCACCTCTGACTCAACTCCACTTGTGTTTGTGAGTCAATTCACAACAAGATCTTCCTGTTGGCAACACCAGGATTTTCCTGGCAGTTTGTAAGAAAATTATGGCAGAGCAGTAATGGATTCCATCTCTCTGAATACCCAGTACTCCACCACTGACTTTTTCACCTCTTCCCCTCTTTTTTTCAGGCCTTTCACCCCACAGCCTCTTCCACTCTCATTTTGGTTTTGTGGGTTCCATCCACACAGGGGTTTGCCTGGGTTCCACCCAAAAAGCATGTAGCAACACTCACACATCTGGTGCAGAAGAGATTCAGTTTGCACCAGTTTTGTCTGTTGACATTGTGGTTTGTTTTGCTCTAAAAGAGGTTTCTCTTCCTCAACCCGTGTGGTTGGTCTCACCTGAAATGTGCTTGGATCCTCCCTATCACCAAGTTCCTGCATTACAAGCTTTACCTGATTAATTTTTCTCCCTTAGTAAATGGGCGGTTTTAGACAGAAAGTTCAGGTCAGAGAGAGTTAAACTAAATTAAATTTGAGTTCCTCGTTTGGATAGTTTCCATACTGACAGTATCATCATCATCCTTGGCTGGATTTCTCAAGCAGGGCACACTGGAAGATTTCTATCTGTAGGCATAAGCTGTGCTGTAATATGGGCTGCTTAGCAAGATTTTGCTTTGCTAAACCTAGAAATCCAGATGTGAATTGCCAGAGATGTTGGAGAAGTGGGTGGTGGAGGAAGAAGGCAGGCCTTGGAAGTGTTCTGGAAGGGTGTAGCTCTGCCAAACCGTGCAGAGACAGTCAGGGAATGTCTCTTGTTCAGCAGCACCTTTCAGATGCAGCTTCTCAAGGTTAGAAGAGCAGAAGGGCCCAAATCTGCATGCAGCTCATCCACAGGATGCTCCAGACCTTCTGGGATTTACAGGTCTGAAAAAGAGGAAAACAAAACCTCCCAGAACTAATTTCTGCTGAGCAATAAGGCTTGTATTTTAAATAATGAGAGCTATTAGCCAGCAGGACAAAAACTCAGTAGAGACTTCTTTTCAGTCTTCCAGAGGAGACAAATGCCTATGGGGAAAGCATCTTTCCTCAGCTCCAAGCAAATAACAGAAGTGAATGGCCTGAGTTCCCACTGCTGAGTTCAGCACATGAGGTTGGACAAGATGATTTAATCATCTCTGGGCTTAAAATTCTGAACCTGAGTTGAAAAATTATCTCAGAGGGAAGCAGCAGCACAGAGTAGATTAGATGTTCATCTGGCAACTAACTAGTCTGAAAGGAAAAGCTTTCCTTTTTGTTCTGTCCAGCACTTAGCCTTCTCCAAGAGTTACTCCCAGGATTCAGGCTGGTGGGAATCTAGGACTGCTTTCTGTACTGTGGGTCTCACTGCAGAGTCATGGGAACACCAAGTCTTTTGTATAGGCAAAGATCATTTTAAAAACATACTGAACTCACACAGTGTTTATGCTGGAGAAAAGAGGGGAAATAGGGAATTTTGGTCCACACACACTTTTTTGGGACGGTTTTGCACACTTGCCCCCACCCTGGATTTCACAATGTGGTTTTGCTCTTACCCTGCAGGCCAAGGTGCCATGGCAGAAGTGTGGACCATCCTGGAGAGAGTTAAAAGGATCCTTGAAGAACTGGATGTGCCAAGGCAGAGCTGATGTTTTGGCATGTAGATGGTGTTTTTGTGCCTTTCTGATGGTTTAGAGATAAACCCAGCAGGAAGCCAAGCTGCCTGTGGGTGCCCCTGGTATGCATACCTATAGCTGCTCTTCAACAGAAGGAGCCAACCGTTGTCTTGCAGCTGGTGCCAAACAGTTGGTACATCACTGCAGACTTTTGAAAACCAAAGCCAAGAATGTGCTGCCTTAGGGTGAAAAACTCTGTGTAGTATCTTGCAGACGGGGACTAACATTCCTGAGACTGTTCAGCACCCTGTACTTCACAGCCTGCTCTGTTCCCAGGAGGCTGCAGAAGGTTTTTCAGCTCCAGTCGTTTCCCCAAGGACTTCTAGAGAGGAGGATGCTGTGCAAACTCTGGTGATGGGGATAACGCCAGCTCCTTCCAGCATGTGTGGCTTGGACCATCCCTGCTCTCCGAAGCTCGGTGTGTAGCTGTGCTGGCTGCATGTTCCCAGCAGGAGTCACTGTCCAAAAAGCATTTTCCCTCTGGGAACTTAATAAAAAAGAGTTTTTAATCCTGCCTCTGATGAATTGCCTCCTGTAGCTGCTCTGGAAGGTGTTCACACCTAACATCTTTGCTAAGTTGTTGTGTCTGCTTGTGTTTTTTTATCAGATGTGGAGAAAAATTGACTGAAAGGAGCGCTCTAACCCCCAAATTAGCCTTTGCCCTTTTGTAACTGTTGGCTGTTCCAAAATTCCACCTGCCCATCCGGGTTCTCCAGTTAGGAAATTAAGAGGCCGGGCCCTCACAGAAAGCCAGGGTGCATGTTTCCCAAAGGAATGAAGTGAAACTTCACCTATGATGATCCTTTTCAGTTTGAAAGTTAACTGACAGGCATGAATAAATTGGGAAATCCTGTGCCCTCATGGGCCAGACCAGGGCTCCCCCAGTCCAGTCCAGCCTTTCCTTGGGAATGTGATCTTGCTCACGGGGGAATGGAAGCAAAGCTCTGCTGCTGTAGCAGAGCACTGCTGACCAACAGAGGTTTTTAACTAAACCCAGACAGATTTAAGGCCTTTGGTACAGCACGTGCATCTTGCCTGTGGGGGAACCTCCAGCCTGCTGCACACGAGGGAAGAAGTTAACAGGTTAGGTTTGCTTGCCTTATCTATCCCACACAAGTAAAAACCTCTGAACTTTCCCTGTTTTGACTCTTCCACTGACAGAGATCCAGGGAGTCAAAGCTTTTGAGAAGGATCCTGGTGTGAGCAGAGCATGTGGCTACTGTGGTTGTGAACTTTGCGTTTTGCCAGGATTTATGGTGTGACCTCCTGCATCATTTGCTCGTGTTCTTACATGATGAAGCTCTCAGCCTCTCAGAGGATCTTACTTTAAGCTTATTGAAGGCAGTAATAGAGATGCTGTTGGATTTCCATGAGTTTTGATGGTGAATGTTGTTTCTACTTACAGGGAAATGTGTGTTCTGGCAGTTACAATTGCCACTTGCCCTGGGGCTCTGCCATGGACATCTCCTGTGGTCAGAGTTGCTTACCTTCCTTCTGGTCCCTGACTTGGCAGCCCAGAAAATCCAACAGTGAGATTCCTCATACCAGGACAAAACACTCTGTCCCTGGTAAGAGCCTTCATCTCTTCCAAGCCTGGTTTACTGGCTTAAGCTGCTCCATAAAGTTGACAAATGAACCTCTGCCTAATTGCTGTTATTTTGAATTGGAAGCAAATCATGATAGCATTCCAGGCTGGGATAAACCTGTGCCCAAGCCACCTTTTCTTCAGGGTAGGTAGAAGAAACAGTTGAGTTCCTTTTGGGAGGCAGGAGCAGCTTCCAGCCTGGCACAGGCACTCCCCACCCACAGCCGGGGAGGTGCTGGCAGCTTGCAGGCAGGAGCTGCTCCCTGTGGAAAAGGAGAAGGAGTAGAAGCTGGAGGAAGCCCTGTGTGCTGTCACATGAGGCTTTAGGAGGGGGCTTTGGGACAGTGCTTTTCTAGAATGAGGCCTGGGACAATGAGTGAAGGACCTGATTCCAAACCAGGGCTTTGTGCTGGCTCAGGCAATAGGTACAGAGTCTCCTTAGCCACTGAGCTCACCAAGAGTTGTCCAGGGATGGATCCCTCAGGGCATTCAGGCTTCCAACTCCATTCCTCACAGCTATGTGTGTGTCTTGACTTCACAGGGGAGGCCCAAGACACTCCCCGTGAGCTTTTTCTTTTCCTTCAGCTCTTATTTTTAAGCTGCACACTGATTTTTTTGTTTCACTTTCCCATAAAAACTCTCGGATGACTGAGGCAGCATTCCCAGGAATCCTGCTGTGTTGCAATTTCATTCATCCTGCTTAAAACTGTTTCTCTCAGCATGGCTTGGGAGTGATAGAGAGTCAAAGCTCAGCTAAGGCAGCAGCCCTCCGTTCCTGGGCTCAGATGTGACTCTCAGCATCCATGTCTCCGGTTGCTTCCCCCATCCCAAACTCAACGAGACCCCTTTGCTGCCTGGATTCAAGAGGCATCCGAGGAGGATGGAGGTGCCATGCTTTTGTTACAGAGCAATTTAAATTTAGTAGTAGAATGGCTAAGGCTTCGTAAGAGAGTAGGCCTAGAAAGCAACACTCCAAAGTAGTATGTTAGCAACCTTGTTTGAGAGCATGGAATGTGCTAAAGAAGTAGAAACAATAATCAAAAATTTAGTCAAGCATGTACGTAACGATTTGTACCTTAGATGTGGTAAGGGTCTGTTAAACAGTTTCTAGGAGTAAGACAGCCTAAGCAGATTTATGATTAGAGTAGATGATTATCAATTGTTACCAGTATGAAGTATGAGCTTGTTTGTAATTGAATGTAACTGTTTTGCTGTGGAAACTGCACGTAAACTTCTTTGTGTAAAAGTATAAAAGCTGAACTGAGAATGAAGGTCTTCGGAATCCTGACTTGGGACGCTAGGCCTCGGGTTCCCGGGCCCCGAATAAAGCACTGCATAAACCGGCACTTTGCTGGTTTGTGTCTTTGTTACGGGCAACACTTTGGTCTGGCTTTGATCAGGAGTTGGCTCCCGAGCTGTGACTCCTCGTGATGGGAATTCCATCCTCCCACATGCCTGTCCCATCCTAGGAGCCTGCAGCAGGGGGAAAAAAAAAAAAAAAAAACCTCTTAAAAAAAAAAGTGATAAAACCTCCCGATGTTCAGACTTGTGGCGGCCGTGCCTGTGTGATGCAGCTGGTGCGGCCGCTTTGCACCTCGGCGCTCCGGATTTGGCACCTGCCCCCCGATGCCGCCTCCTCCGGATCCCCGAAAGCACGTGAGGTGGCAGGAAGCAGGTTTTGCTCCCCGACCACAGCGGGGCTGGCTGCTGGAAGAGCCGGTGGCTGCCACAGGGGTGACAAACTGGTGGTGGCGAGTGAGACCTGGCGGTGTTCGCACAGGTTTCTTCCCTTCCTTGCTCGGGTAGGATTCAAAACAGCGCCCTGAGATGTGCATCTTCCTCCTGTAAGGTTACAGTGACGGGCAAGTGGGTTTTTTTTTTGTAGAAAAGGGAGATGATCCAAAGGGATTGCCTCTTGTAACTGCTCTGGAAGGTGTTCCCACCTAACATCTTTGCTGAGTTGTTGTGTCTGTGTTTTTTAATCAGATATGGAGAAAAATTGACTGAAATAAGCTCTCTGAACCCTAAATTAGCCTTTGCCCTTTTGTAACCATTGGCTGTTCCAAAATTCCACCTGCCCACCCAGGTTCTCCAGTTAGGAAATTAACAGGCCAGGCCTCTGCCCTCATGATTTTTCTTTCAGTATGCTTAATTTTTTTTTTCTCACCAGCGCTCCTGACTTGGGAGATGCTTGAAAGCAGCTGAATCGCCCTGACTGGTGATAAGGACAGTGCCAAAAGACATGGCATGGCTTGGCACAGACTCCTTGGCACCAGTGACACCAATAGCTTGGTTTTGGCAGGACAACCTTGCAATTAAAACTTCTTGGTGCAGTGTTCCTGCTCTGGTCAGCAGCCTCCGTGGGTGCTTGAAAAATTGTTTCCAGGGGTAATTGAGCTTAATTAGAAGCTTGAATTCCCTGGAGCTGGGATGCACAGCAGAGACAAATAATCCAATGGGGCAGATCCCTGCTAGGTCTTAACCTGTTGTTTGGGGTTTTACTCCTGGAATTTCAACATGAAATTTAGATGGAGACTGGAATTTTTCCCTGGGAGTCCTGCATTTGGTGTTGTACCTTGCTTTTCTGACTCTCTGGGGGAAACAGAGGATAAAGGGGATGGAATGAGCACAAAAAAACATTGTGAGATGGGGAATAAAGGTGACTTTTGGTCATCACAATGAAGATAAAATTAATCCGCTCCTGACCACAGGCTGCTGGGCTCCCTGGAGGGAGTGCAGAGAGATGGGCTCTGCATGGAGACTCCTAAAATCAGGCTCCAACAAATGGGATTGCAAACACCTCAGACTGAAAGCCAGGAGAGCCTGGCACGATCCCAGCTCTTGCTCCCATGGCACTCAGCCTCCAGAAAGCCTTTGGTGTCCAGTGCCAGCTGCCATGAGCACCCCAGAGACCCTTCATCCCCCTGACCCCAGCCCTGCCAACAGCAGGGGTATCCAGGAAGTCCCCCCACGTCCAGCACCACTGGCACAGTGGGTGATCATGCAAGGACAGGCAGTGTGCCACCACGGCTTCCCACTGCCAAAACAAGCTGCTGGGGTGCCAACACAGCAATAAAAGCTTTACAAAAGGGGTTTATTCCTGCCTGGCTCCTTGGATGGCTAGAAGGGCCTTTACCCAGGAGTCCCGTGCCCCCAGAGCGGCCTGAACTTCTGTGGCTGGCTCTGCTCTCTGTCTCACTTGATTTACATGGGGCACGGGGGTGGCTTATAGTTTTGGAGAAATATGATTCACAAACTCCAGCATGATAAGGATGAGGGGAAAAAGATAAGACACGTCAACCTGAAGGAATGCAGCCAGTAGAGAGCCCAGCCTGTGGCTGGCAAAAGCCCTGGAAGAGGGGGTCTGGTGTGAAAAGGGACAAAATGGTAACATGTGCCTGAAAAAACAGCTGAAAAGCCTCCCATCCCTGCTACAGGCAAGCACAGCTTACTTCACCTGGGCTCTCATCCCACAAATCCTCTGCAGCTCTGAGGCCATGGGATAGCTCCAGGTAAACTCCCTGGACATGGGTCAGCCAAACTTCCTAACTGGGAGTAATTTAAAAGCCGAGCTGTTGTGTTTGTGCAGGTCTGACTGTGCTTCCAGGGCTGCAGCTGCCCTCCAGACCACTGCTCTGCTTCCCTGAGGATAAGGAACCAGCGTGGCTCCCAGACCCATCCCAGCCATCCCAAAGTCAGCTCTTGCATGAGTGGCAGGCGAGGGAAGCATTGTCCCTTTGTCCCTTCCCTCTGCTGGGCAGCACCATGTGCCTGCCAGGCATGTGGCTGGGGAAGCCTCTGCCTTGCCAGGCTTTCCTTTGCCAGTGGGGATGGGGGTGGTGGGGGAAGCCCTGACCTGGTTCCTGCTGCCCCCACACACATCAACCCCCCCCCCCAAACAAATCTCGACCTGGCAAACACGGCCCCTTTATAAAGGCAGCAAATTTTGGCTGCGAGAACACGGCTGATGTTGGAGCGCAGCCTGCTCTGGGGTGCCAAGGCACAGGCAGACCTCTGCCCCTTGCTTTGCTCTGGAATACCCCTCCTGAGGTCAGGGAGCTCCTGCTTTTGCAGCTTCTCCAGGAAATCTGCATCCTGCATACCCTCAGAGCAAGTTTGCTCTAAGGTGCTCTGGGTGGATGTTATTTACAGCAGCATTTTTTTGTCCATAGGAAATAGCTCTTGGTGAGGGCAAAAGCTCCTGAGGTGTGGACAGGATGCAGCTGAAGCACCCAAACGCTTCCAGCCTATGAACCTTGCCAGTTGCTTCAGCAGAAAGTAAATATTGACCCTCTGTCAGCACTTGCACGCATAGACACTCCTGTTACTGTTGCAAATAGTCTGATAAATAATTAAGATTTCATTGTATAGAAGAAGAAGTGATAAAATAATCAAGATTTGATCATATAAAAGAAATTGTTTGATTAAAGGTAGAAACTTGTGAAGCACAATGTATAGAATTGTTATGGAGGGTTGTGTTTGGAGTGTGCAGTCATGGATACCTCGCCAAGAAGTTACTGGAACATGTGTGTTAAGTTACAGGACCATATATGCTGCTTGGAAACCCCCTCACCCCTTCCCATCTTGATCTGCATATCAAGGATTCCAATCAGTAAAGCTCAGTAGAACTGACCAATGATTGCTTTTGGAATAAAGATATATATCCTATAGAACCAGTCACTGTAAAGGTTGGATTTAAGAATGGACTTATATAACAGGTATAAAAAGGAATGGGTTTTGTTGCTGAGGTGGAACACGTTTGGAGGGGTGTGTTCCCAGCACACTGAATAAAGAAGTGTGTCTGCTTATTCACATCAAATTGGTGTTGCATAGGTTTCTTTTGTCCTGTTCGGTGACATGACCAAAACCAGAACAAAGCCCGGCGCGTCCCTCCAGCACCAGCTCTGTGTGCTGGTTCTATAAAAATAATCATAATTAAATAGTTGGGTTTACTGGGGCTTTGTTGGGAGTCAAAGATCTG